CTGTAGCCACTTAACTAAACTTATGAGCAAATTTGGAGACAAAGTATGGAGCATCCAAACAAGACATGAGATGCATAAGTGTACCAAATTGGACCATCAGAAGGAGCTAGGTTTGAAGCCGGCCACTTTTCTTGCCTTCGTCTTTTTGGTGAATTATCGTCATATGTTGAACAAAAAGTTTGCAAGGATTCTTCGGGATCGCAGGTCGGTGTGCCGAGGACCTATTCGCACAAGGCTACAACCACCCCACAGCCTTCGATGGAACCAACTTACGAATCCCTTCCACTCGCCTCTTTAAACGAAATGAAAGGTACTCCAACGTCAATCTATAAAGGGATTCTCCGAAACCCAGTTTTTCTACATACCTACTTTAGTCCTTAGATTTTTTGTTGCATGATCCTATTTTAAAATGATTTTTTATCAATCGTATTTTATTTTTATTAAAGTCTATGGTATAAATATTCTCAAATCATATTTATTTATCTATAAGAAGCAACCTAAAGTAGAAAAAAGCTAACTGGAGATAGTTATCATACAAGCAATCTTGTAGCATCAGGAAAACATGGATGGAAACAATATAATAAGGCTATATAGATAATTAAGAAAAAACGATTGAATAGTCCTACAAGCTGACAAATGAGATGTCACAGTAGCGATGGTCAGGAAGAAATATAAAGATAAAATGGAAACGAAATGAAAGTTACCCCAACATGAATCTATTAAGGGATTCTTCGAAACCCAGTTTTTCTGCATACACAAGAATTGCCCTCTATGGGATGGAAATGAACTTACGCCTCATCGTGCAGCAGTTAACGTAAAAACAAGCAATGTCTGCGATTTCACACTTGACATCGATGTACAGCATGGCCCTCATGTCGTGTGAATTTCTCATTTGAGAAACTAAAATTGAGTAGACAATGAGTAGTGCTCTTTGCCTCCTGTAAGCAGAAGAGACAATTGCCTTTGTTGTATCAAGACTCAAAGCCAAGCCCATTTGGCATTACTTTCCATGAAATAATCTTCTATCGCTGTTTGCTTCTTAAAAACACTTTACACTTTACGGCAAACACATCCCTTTTGAAGGAAATGAAAATTTTAATCGAAAATGAGCGCTACGCTTTTCGCCGTGAGTATGCTTGAATAATAAACTACGAAATTACTTTGTGCAAATGAAAAGCCTACTGCAAAATCAAGAGTTAGAGAGAGACAAAGAGAGTGAGTTAGGATCTCGATATGTCACTAGAAAGTAAAACATTACATCTGTTTTGCTGCTGAAAATTTGGGTTTCTCTTTCACCAGTTAAGGCCATGGCATCTGATTTCGAGCATAGCAGCACCATTATTGGTGAACCGTCTTCCACGAGGACCGAAGACAATTAAAGTCTATTCCGAGGGAGCTGCCTTCACGAACTTGTGAACTTCCAATAAAATTTATTTTTAGAAGTGGGTCGCAACTTGGTCTTATTGTCAAGGAGACAATGTAGAACGCACCTAGTCCAAATTCGTCTGCCATATTAGTTGTCATGATTCCCAGCATTCTCAAATGTACCAAGTACACGACGACTTCGGACTGAGTGCGTTCTACTAAGTCGCCCTGACAACAAGACCAAGTTGCGACGAAGAGGTCAATCCACTTCTATAACTCGAAAGGAGACTGCGACCATACCAGAGGCCACAACATCTTGGTTTTCATATCCTCAAGATTTATTTTTGCCCGAATATTTTATCTGATTCTTTACGAAAACAGCCTACCAAAAGCGTATTCCTACTCGGGCCTTTAAGCAATAGTGGTCCCTTCCAGGTCTGATACACACTTGTCAATGTGATTAAATCCATTACTATGTGAAAAGTCGACAAAAAGTTGGACCCTAAATTCTGCCCATACAGAGTTCTTCAAGTGACGCTTAGCTTTTGGATGAGGCATTTTTGAGAAATCCCTGAGTGCAAGAGATTCTAAGACTTCGGGGAGAATTATGTACCAGATAGACGATCTCACTTTTTTGGGTCAAGTCTCCTTTCTGTTTAGAGTCCTATATTTGTGGTCATCCAATTTGGCATAAAAAGCAGTTTTATGTTAGACTTGGAAGTACGCTAAAATTCATATAAAATATTTTACGCACTCGATAAAAGTATTGTTTTGTTGTCTTTAGCTATAAATCTGTAACATAGGGTAATCTTAGTTATGTGCAACACATTATTGCGCCAACCCGTTCTCCATGATGCCATAATGCGTATCTCTCAACCAAAGCATGACTTGGAATCTGTCTTCAAATTTATAGTGCCAAATAATCTCCTTTTTAAAGCTTTATCAAAGATTGTACAGTTAATGTCAGTGTTCGAACTAAGAGCCTTGGTAAAAGTGTTCACACCGCACGATTCATTAATAAGACGAAAGGAATGTTAAGTAGTTTTATTGAAACTACTCACATTTCCTGACTGTCTAAATTGTAACTCGAAAAGTATTAATAAGTTTTAGGCATCAACACCCTCCTGTTAATCAAGAAGTATGACAACTCAAGTGCCAAAAGAGTGTCGCACACAATACGAGATGTCTGATTTGCTTGTGATGTCTAAGACCTCCAAGCCGATGTGTGTATGATTCGAAATTACTAGAACTTCTTCACTCTAAGTTGTTTAAGTGGAATCGTGGTATGATAGTGGTGTTTATACCACAATAAACTGTGTTGACCTTTAATTTGCTTTAAATCTCACTTTCTTTGTCTCTCAAAAGGTCAGCGCATCAATTCCTATTGTAAATCACATTGTTAGTGGCCAATTTGATGAGGCAAACATTTATTTGCTGTTCCAATCAGCGATGTTACTTATTTTAGTTGTGAGTAGGCTTTGAGAGTAAGCAACACTTGAATAATATACTAAGAAGGTGATATTTTGCACCACTTCATATAAGCTAGATTAGACGAGTTAATATAATTTCGAACATGCACGTTTATACCATTATGCTGAAGTATACGACCAGAGCTAATTGAACGCACTTCGAATTAATGGACCTTGAGACTTTTTGCTTAGCCAAACGCCCTAAAACAGCTGATGAAATTGTTAGCCAACACTTCATAAATTCATTTTAAGAGGTGTCTGAATTCCAACTCTCCTTATGTCTTTCGTGTAAAAACTGGATTTTCGCGTCAGCTCGCAAAAGACCAACAACGGGACATAGGCAGTCAAATACCGTTTGATGCATATGCATATGAAAAAATTTCCATTATTAGTAGTAGTGCGATAATAAATAATATTATGAACGCTCTGGTGTTAAGCTCTTGGACATGCACTCATATGTGACATGAAAGACTCTGCTACTTTTATGGGCGTTGCCGGTTTTCACTTTGCAAACCTACAACGTACAGAGAGCTTAATTCGGGTGACGCAATAAGCCCAGGTCCATGTTCGCATGAAGCCGATCTGTGGGAGGCTTTCAAGACAGACGCACAATCTGAACTAGAGTTTAGTGCAAGGAAAATGAACAAAAGTTCATTGGAGAGACAAGAGAGATAGTCGACACAAGAAGTATGCCATTGACTGGAATAGAATGGAAGAAATGTGTTACCTCTGAGGGAATACAGGAAGAAGGAAGATAAGGAAGGCTGTGCACATTGTTTGTTAGAGAAGTCTAATGAGGACAAGATTGGAGAAGGAAAGATTCATGGAGGAGTTCACCTATCGTCTGGGCACATTTGGAGGAGTTTTTGATTCTGCAAGTACAGTCAAAAGAACTCACTCGGAGCGTGGATAACCATCGAGCAGAAGAAACAACCATCGCCGGAAAAAGGGTACACATTTCAGGATCAGGACCTACTTCAAGCCCTTTCGAATGCTGCAGCGTAATCTCCAACGGCTTCCAAAAGACGAGTTAAAAGCTTTGGAAAAGACATTGGCATCAACCAATTCATGTGAATGCGCACACTTGGGCGAAGTGAAGCGTCAGGATTGGGTTGAATCTTGATTGTGGGCCAAGTGATGAAAGTGATGAGCTCCACTTGAGGATAAAGTAAAACCGTAACATTTATTTCGCCTGGAATTCCCACCTGTACCGATGCAAGTATGTAGAAGCTACTTTTTTTCGAAATACTTCATTCGCACACTATATTTTGAGGCCAACTTTAGCTCATCCTTGTGTCTTACAGCAATTTTACAAACACATATATGCAAATCATACACCTCTCATATGCAGCATTCCGGCTCGATAATATTATATGATGGAGACGGTTGCTAGTTAACACAAACTTTCACTACAAATTTCGACTAGTTTTAAATCTTACTTGGATTTCTGGGCGGGCTATAGCTCCTTGTTAGTACTCATGTCACCAACTAAGCCTCGGAATGTACATAATTCAACGAATAAAAGCTGAAAGATATGCTCCGATCAGAATAGGCTGTCGACTTAAGAACACCTACCTGAAGAATAAATTTATGCCAAAATTTATTTCCATCTTCCTATTTATAATCAAACTTGGCGGCTTCTAGGCTGGCAAACATATTTCATCGACAAAAGGAACTAACTAGCCCCACCAATTCCTTCCCAAACGAATGACAGCCTAGTGACTAGTCTGCAGGTTGACGACTACCAACTACTGCTCATTCAACTTAAAATAGGGTCATTCATAGAGACATTCACCTCGCATTCGCTTCCTTCCTAAATCCAACATCAGGTGCCCTCATGGTTGCAACGAGACGAGGTGAAGCTGGTTGATGGGGCTTCAATTGGGCAGAAGAGACGTTAGATAATGCGGTCAGAAATAGGTTTCATGCCCTGGACGGCATGATTTAGCATTTATGGCCTTTTTACCATTTTACCATGTCGTGATTGAATTCCGTCGATTTTTGCTGATCTCCGCTTTGCCGTCAGCTTCTGGCCAGAAAATATTCAGCCCAAAATGTGGTCACACTAGACTGACTAGAGTTTGTACATCCTGTCTTCACTTCCTTCGTCAGTGAATCCAGCCCGTGGCACCTTAGTTGGGACAATTATGAGAGAAATGATTTGCTTCATCTCACTTCAAGCTCATTTCCTTTTTGCTCTACTACGCCACCATTGTTTGTTCACTCCACCCACAGAGCCAGTGGTCTCGATGACGACTGAGTGGGGTTCTGCCGCGGCTGGTACAATTCCTATTGATGCCCAGTTCACCTGCGGTGATGGTGCTCGCACGGCCTGGCTTCCCTTGCCCCATAGCTCCATCGCTTCATCTGGCTGCTGTATCTCTCTCCACCTCTCTAAACACTTGACCTTTGTGTGATCATCAATTATATGGCAATTTTTTCTTTTCCACCTAAGCTTCGGGTCATCTCCTCCACTGCCCCACTCCGGCCTCGTGTGAGCTCGCTCGTCGCTCTGCCAACCCGTCGCGTTTCTGCTCGGCCATGTGTATCTCTGCCCTCGAAAGCCCATATGCAGTCATACATGCACAAGAAGGGAGGAGCAGATGAACTTACTCAGTCGAAGAGGTGAAACTGGCCAGTTCGGCCTACTTCTTCAGTTCCACTTTGTCTGCTCATCATGCCCCGCGCAATACCGTGGTACACCGGCCGAGGCCAGTTCCAGCCAGACATCTGCATGTTGTAATTCAACCTCACACATCGCAAGTTTCATCATTATCATCATAATCGTAATCTGGACCCTTCTCCTCCCTCGGTACATCATTTCGCCGGTCAAGCCACTTCCCCGCCCCCTCCACCTCCCTATCATACGCCCGCATGTTCAGGCAGGCTTGTATAAACATTTCGCTCAAATCTCTTGCTACAATCACACACACACACACACACTCACACACAATCGGGGGGGGGCTGCTCTCACTTTATCCCACCATCACACCATCTATATGTCTAGTTGCTATCACTATGTATGCATCACCTTCTGCTTATCTCCAGCCCCAGTTATCTATCGATAAATCTGCCTTTTGTTCTTGCCCTCTTTTTGCTTTTGTTTTGTGGGGCGAGCTCGCTCCACCTCGTCAGGCAAACCCGATGTCGTACAATTTGCTGCTTCATTTTCTTCCCATTTTCCATTTTTTGCTTCACTTCATTCTCCTCTTCCTCTCTCTCTCTCTCTCTTTACACATATATATATATATATATATATAATTTTATATTGCTACATATATGATACCATTATTATTTATTTTAATATAATTTCTAAATACATATATCACTCATTCTTTCGGCCTACAAGGCTTGCCTTGTCGCCCCACCTTGTTGTACGAACCTTATGTCACGCAGTTGGCAGCCTTATCTTTTTCCCATTTTCAATTGTATGCTTTACTTCTTTATATTTCTCTCGCATTTATACATATCATAGACA